ACACGATTGTGGTCTTATTATCTAGAATAGCGTGCATGTTCCTGTCTCTTTTACAATTCTTGCTTACATCGCCCTGTGTGCACTGAACTGCACCATCTGATCCATAACCAACGTCGGTCTATTCACTTTTCGCACCCTCTCAGGTGGCTTCTGTGACACACAAAGAAGAGAGCAAGCGTTTGGAGAAGGTCGTGAGTATCCTCACCTCGACCATACCCTTCGCCTATACTTTTGCTCCGGTCACATCTGCTTGGATTTACACCAATACATCACATAGGACCCTTTGGATCCTGTCTGTAGCTGTGCTGGTTGCGGGCGCGCTGCATGTGGCATTTATAGTTCCAGCGGCACCACCGACTCGCCAGATGACAGCCATACGGAGACATTCAGTGCACGATGCTGATAACTTGGTGACTGGAGGTGTGTCGTTGCATATATATTCATTAGATTTTTAATGTGTGATCAAGATGAATACGAGACCGAGGCATTCAATGTACTATGTTGACGACTTTGGAGGTGCGTCATATCTGCTTATATATCAAATGATGGTACAGATTGGCCCTGTTACAACACTCTTCCCGGGCATATAGTTCAAGCGACTGTGGATGTGGGCGCAAGATGATAGTCATGCACGCTCAATTTTATCTTTATATGCTCACTCCAGAAGGTCATTCCGCTGACCACTCGCCTTTGTTGACCGCCAAAAGCACATCGCGAAAACCAAGTTTCCGCACGAGGCTACAAGCCATCAATCCCTTGGCTGCATTGCCGTTAGTAATGAGCAATGTTGTGGCTGCCAATTATCTGCTGACGCTCTTTATTGAAACGTTGGTGCAAGGGGCGCTGTTTCAGACCATGGGTAAGTTGTCATGTTGTTTAGTGCCTGTATTTGATGATCGTCTGTTTATGTTGCATCTACCAGTTTAGTGTACTCGTGTCACACACGTTCCATCGTGGCGTGAGCAGAATACCACACGGTGCAATTAGTTGTCTCGGCATGGTCAAGGTAATGCATATAGGTACAACGACCTAATTATCTTGCTGTCTGTAGTCTGGCAGCGATAAGTTCTACAACTTACTCTTCTATCACTACTTCTTCGCCCGCCATACCAGTCCTGTACGACACACAATACCTAGGTCTCAACGAGGTACAAAACGGCGAGTGCATGCTCGTTTGGGGTACGTTTCTGGCCATCTCGAGTGTCTTAACGGTGCGCGTACAGACCCTTTTGGGACCTTTAGGAGCCATAGTAGCGGCGTGCTCGGGTATGACCTATGTATCACTGATTATGGGCAGCCTAGTGATACCATCGGCCCCTTACTGGGCGAGTCTCGGGTTCTTCTTCGGTGGACAGATACACGCGACGTGTACGAATGGGGTTGCCGCACAGTTCTCGTCCGAGTACCAGGGACGCGTGCAGGGAGTTGCCAATGGGGTGAAGGTAAGTAAGCGTTCACGTCGCGGCTTTCGTGGGCGTCTGTACACACACAATAAGGCGGGTAGAAGTATACACTGGCCCGAGCTCATAGGTGTGCACTCAGGCCATGTTGTATACGTTTGGTGCCTTCAATGTGACTAGATGCTAACTGATCTCTCCATCACGTCACACTCGCACACAGTTCTTAGGTGAAGGTCTGGGACCACCCATAGCCGGGTATATGATGAATAAGTTTCGAACTATCGGGCACGCAGGATGGGCGTACAATGTGCTAGGGTTTCTGTCAATAGGCTGGACTCTGTGGCTTATCTGGACTAGAGCTATACTGCCAAAGACGGAGCTGACTGCGGTGTGTGTGCTGGATGATTCGAGCGAAGAAGATGCACTGGAGACGTACACGCCGGAACAGGGTCGTAGTGGTGGGCTTGTGAAGACAGAAACAACACCTTTGCTCACGTGAGAGATCTATCTTCTCAACCAGTCGACTAGTTTAATACTCGTCTAATGATGTGTTTCAGGGCTTTATATCCAGCTAAAGACAAGGATTTGTACACGGTGTATGATTTTGCTAGAGGAAGCGAATGAGGAATGCACACACCGGAACAGGGTCGCGGCTATGGATGTGTTAGAGAATAGAAACTTGTCTGCCCACTGCAGGGGTGTACTTCTCACCCAACTGATTTGTGCCATGAGGTCGAAGAATGTGTTTCTGGACTGAAATGCCAGTACCCGGTAGGGATATGTATATGGCGAGTGGGCTATCAGAGTTGAGGGAGAAGGTTCACTGGTGAGACACACATCAGTACAAAGCCGTGGGAGCGCTATGTCATAACGGGCAGGACACATTGCTAACTTGGAGGAGTCACTTATCGCATAACTGAAGTGTGTGATCGTGGTGGAATGTGTGGTGTAGGATATACTGTTCATTGATAATTTTTCTTCATGCAATGTGCGTGCTGCGGAAAATCGGATTGAAGATGGTATTTTGGCAATGTATCGCGGTGGCGGGCATGTCAGCCGTATGCAACATCTTGCTCACGTGGTTAGGGTTTAATGTTCTGTCGATTGCTGACGTGATGGAAGGCTGTAGTGCTATACCCTATGGAAAATATGCAACCGATGACGGTGGACAGTGGTTAAATATATAATCGCCCTCTGGTGAGCGTGTATGTTCAGGAACTGCCATGCAAGATGGATCGACGATGGAGACCACATACGACCTGCACGCTGGAATAAGGTTGGGGGTAGGACGAGCATTGGTAGGTGCTAAGGATACATCCACATCGTTGCTCGTATATCAGAGAAAAACAGGAAAAGACAACATATTGCGCAACGTATTATCTTAGTCTAACTAGATGAAATAATAGTTGGGAGCCGTATTCATCAACAATTGATGATTCTGCAGATGTTGATACCGCGCAGTAATAGCAACCATCGGCGTATGCCGGTCACGCGCGATGGGATTTTCCATGGGTCCTGCGCTGTCAGGAGAGGTGTATCAATTTGGCGCAAGTATACTTGCTCTTGATACATCCACAGTGATAATCGAACAGAAATCTGAATGACAAATGTGTATCTTAAATCTGGAGGTCATCAGCTCTACATCAATATACATCATCCTAGCGCCGGAAGAACTCATGGAATAGGACTAAGAGGTATACCCTAAGTGTACGCTCTAGGTCAAAAAACGCATAAGGGGCTTGATGTTCCAGTGTACATAGGATGGAGTTCGTTGTTGTTGTCAAGATCATTCGATAGCCTCGTTACTGACGCGGTAAACCGAGTACAGACTATAAGTTACTTGCTTCAGCAAAGTGAAATACTCCTGACTACTTACTGGCAGCCTCATTCGCGCAAGAGTTAAATACGGGACTTAGTATAATAGCGACTGACCGTCAATACACTGCACATTAAACAGACTAGCAGCACAAGTAAAATTACAGCTCGGCGCATATATACTATTCGCTTTGTTAGTTTTCGCACCGCGAATAGTTGTGAATAGGCAAGCTGTTTTACTAAAAAATAAACAAGAATAATGATGACCTTATGACCTTCTAAAGAAATATTTACAAACTTCTCTGTCCGTTGTCACATTTCCTCCAGCTAACTGTGGATCGTACAAACTATAGCTCGGCATTTTGTTTTGGACTTTTATTTTATATGATTGTGTCCGAGTGATGTTCTAGTTGAATCCAATACTGGCCGCGACCACGGATTACAAGTGTACTTAGATATCATATCGACACGAACCTATTTAATCATTTATGTCCGTCAAAGTTGATATGAACTATATGATTCAATCCAGGTCTTTGACCAGCACACTCGTTGTCTGAACAGCGAATATCCTGACTGGATAACGGCCGTAGAGTGTGCCCTGCTAACACCCTCGATATAACTAGCAAAGCAGGCCAATATTGGTAAATGACACAAAACTACCAGTTACATCTGGGAAATTCGTATCCTGTGATAAAGTTTCTCCCACGTGAAATTTGTTCCTTGGTTGGTCGATTTGGATGTATGAATAGTTTATTGGATCACCGGCAGTAAGCGTGCCATTTCTATATACTGCCAAATTCAATCTCAGGCTAGAATCAGGTATTCAATCTTAGGCCAGAATCCTAGGCCCAAGCTCCCACTCCGAGTCTCCGAGTGACAGTGTCTTATTTTTATTCCCCCCCCCCCCCCGGCCCCCCCCCCCCAAAAAAAATAAGCTGACAGTGACAGACTGACGCCAATTGTCTCCTATATTTTGTTTAAAAATAATATATAAAAATCACCAAGACAAATATTTCTTTTAGAAGGGAATGTATTCAAGGAGTAATAAATGCAGCAACGAGTAAAAATATAAAAATGCCGCAGTTCTTTGAAATAGTGTGCTCCATATATTTGAAAGCGATTGGATTAATCGACATTGGGGAATGCTATCTAATTTTAGACTATTGTATTCATTGGATAAATTTGTTTCAATGCTTCTATATCAAGAAAACTTATGCATTTTTAAAACTTCAATAATTAACATAAATGAAATCGAAGTATGTACGAGAGTAAAACAATGCTCGACTGTCAGAGACCACTGGCCCTGGGGCCTGGGGCCGTGGGCAATGGACCAGTCTCTGCATCATGAGTCATCATTCATCAGTGAGACTCATCAGTCTGTCAGAGACTCTCAGCAAGTCTCAGTCTCTCACGTCTCTCAAGTCTCAAGTCTCAGACTCTCTGAGACTTAGACTGTCTCAAAGTCTGTCTCAGTAATAGTTCTGTAAATACATATTTGGGGTTTTGTTTACAGTTTAAAAAAACAAAAAAAAACAACAACAACAAATGGAGCCAAACAACAAAATATGTTGTAAATACTGTACGACACATGTGCATATTATATACATATTTGTTTTTATATTTGGGGTTTGTTTGTTTTTAAAAATGGTAAAAAAAATAGATAGAGGGGAAGCCGTCAAACTTCAATGGGTCAAGACGAGCCGAAATATTTAGAGCCGAAAGTCTGAGAAACTAAAAAAAAATCATAAAAAAATACAAAAAAACTTCTACAGCTCCGCCACCAGAGGGAAAAGACACAGTCACACAGTAGAGAGATACTTAAGTTGCCTTCGATAACGGTGAATTAAAACTTCTAGAAAAGTACAAAATTATTGCAAGCAAGTGTTCCTCGTTTGCTATTTAAATTATTAGATCACACAGAGAAGTGCGTTCACTTGTTCGCGAGCGTATACAGATATACTTATACACTTGTAGTCACAAAGCAAAACAGCTTTTTCTCGTCAAATACCTAAAAGCAAAGCAACAATATAAGATGTTTTCAACCAGAATCATAGTTGCTCTTTTGGCATCCAGTGCCAGTGCAATATCTACACGTAGACAAGAAAGTACATGCACCGCAGAAGAAACACAGGTGAGAAGTGGTGATGGTACCACAAGATGTGTAGCATCGGATCAATTGAGTGAACACAAAGCTCTGTGCAGTTATGAACCAGTAGAAGGGTTTATGATCGATACTATAGGCAGCGAAGACTCAAAGAAAGGCACCCTGTACGTCAAGAGTGATGCAGATGCACAGATATGCGATGGTTTACTCTCGTTCATACCTGACGGTACAAAAATATCATACATCGAACCGGGTACATTCGACACAGGATTTGAGAGGTTACGGGGCATAGATTTATTCGACAATGAGATAGAGCATATCAGCGATTTTGCCTTTGAAGGTTTGGATAGTCTAGTAATCATGGATCTGGCCAAGAATAAGCTAACAGAGCTCGATGCCAACGATTTGAGCAAGGCTCAGCCCAGCATAACATTCCTGCTGCTGGATAATAACCAGATATCACAAATTGCCGAAGACACATTCCAATCCGCAACACAACTCCAACAGCTAATCTTGGTGGGCAACGAACTTACTGGCCTACCCGAGCAGACATTCGCCAAGTCGATTGCCCTGAACTCACTGTATGTCACAGAAAATATTCTAATTTTGTTCGCGCACACAGTTCCTTATAATTTTTTTTGCCGATAGCCACACAGCTCAACGGGATGTGTCTTTACGTACACGGTGTTTAACTTACATACAAGATTTTTTTTTGCTCGTGATAATTTTGAGAATACTCCAACCTGCATCTATCGATTAGCAGGTAGTCGCTGTCTGATATAGGACAAGTTAAATTGCGTTTGGGGAGAAGCGGGCGAAATTTATTGCATTATATGAGGGTGCTTTGTACACAGTGCATCATCGTTACCTGTCATTCGATATCTGATCGTATAAAAATGGGGCCGGTAAACATAGGGTAGCAGTTTTTGTGCGTATTTTGGCGCCTAACGGCTACATTATCAATTACTAATACAGTACACATTTTTGTCTCCTCATAGATCTCTTGACAACAACCCTTGGCTGTGTGAAGATATTGTTCCGGCCTTGTCCGTGTACATCAGTGACGACCTACGCGTGGTCGACACTTTATCCGAGAATCCATTCGATACCGGAAAATATGGTGAATGTACATTCGAGAATGGTACAACTGTCGATCTAAGGGATGCCGTTCCACCACCACCAGGTATGTTCAAACTATATATATATATATATATATATATATAATATATATGTATGTATATATATGTATGTATATATACGTATAAAACAATATATATAGCAAAATATAACATTATATAACAATATATAGCAATATATAACAATATATAACAATACACAACAATATATAACAATAAATAACAATACACACACACTCACAAACACACACACACACAAACACACACACACACATGCACACGCACACGCACGCGC